ACTCACAAGATTAATATGGATTAAAAAAACTTTAGTTTATTTATGCTTAGATACATGCGTAGAACAAATAGTGATTTGTCATGTGAATGTCTAATAAGGATAGTAAAGTATCAGATGCTAGTAAAAGATCAAGCAATGAATATAATGTTAGACTATACTGACTAGTACCAGAACATACCATAATTGATTGGAGTGTTGGCACTACTAAATGTGACCACAACAATTGTATACGTGCACAATGAAAAGTTTGATCTATATATTGAGATCAATGTTGAGACATCCCTCCTGCACTTCTCATTTTGAAAGATCTAATACTATCCATCATTATATTATTTCTTGCAACTCTATTTTTTCCTCCTTTATTCAAATATATACATTGAAAGAGATTATAAAAAAGGTTCTAAAACTAAGATACTAACAACCTATTTTACAAAATGTAGATTCATCAACCCGTCATCCTAATGGCCACCACCATAAGGACTAATCTATTTATCTGAAAACCAAATATTGCAAGGCACAATTTATAGGAAAGGAAATTTTCACCCTAAGTAAGTCAACCACGACCATAGGAGCAATAAAGGGTTTATACATTTTTTCTAGGTGTGTTGTACATTTTCTGTAAAGATAATAGTTTGATTAATTGGGTTAAAGTCTCGTTGACCCACCTTAAAAAAAAGACCATGCATTGCATGACTGGGCCTTAGTTATGCATTATGCTCTCAATTGTTTATGCAAAAGAGGCACAAAAAATAGAAGGGTGAGTATATCTAACACATAAAATATTTCGTAAGGAATATATTACTAAAGAACATAAGCGAGTAAATACTATCCCTTCTCAGACAATCAATACAAATCACCTAACAAGTTTTATGAGTTTTGATCAATTAGGTTAAAGTCTCATTTAATTTTATGTTTTGTAGTTAAGTGATTGGAAGTTTTATGCCCGTAATCTAGACAATACCACCTAGTACATCAATTCTCTCGAGATTCATTTTTGTTGTGCACATCAATATATGTGGTCACTTCTAAAGGTATACACTCAAATCAATCATGGTATACGCAAATGTAAGTTAGAATAATTTTTTGTTAAGACTTTATATTTTACTATCTCTTATGATCAAATGATAAATTTACAATTATAGTATATTTCTAGGATTTAGTATGTAGAAATTTAGATGAACTCAAATGAAAATGCATGAAAACGATGCAATGTTGCCTAATACTAATTAATAATTGACAGCAAAGATAAATTCTTTAATTTCTTTCATATTTTACCAGATATTCTTTACAATTCAAAATTATAGTTTTTTAATTTTTTTTCTTCTTTTACATCTTTTGAAGAAAAGTAATTATTTAAATATAATTTTTTTCTTAAAATGTATTAAATTTTAATTTGACTTTTATTATTTTTATTTTAGTTTTTATATTTTAAAAATGGTTAATTTTAGTCTTTCTTGTTAATATAATTTTAGAAAAAAAAGTGAACCATAGCATAGAATTGATACAAGACAACATCTGAATTAATCATATTATGTTTGATAGTGATTAAGAACTAAAATTATTAAATTTTAAAAATATAAATATTATACCCAATAATAATAATAATAATTTTGTAAATATAAAATTAAACTATAATATATTTTAGGAGAACAAAAATATATTTAGTTCAAAAGTTTTCAATCGTTAACGAGCACAAGACAACATCTTTAACTAAAGTAACACATTGATTAATTAGTGTAAAATCAACAAAGATACCAACAATATTAATATTGGTGCTGTTTATTCACTTCTAATTTTGATTTTTAGCATATATTTGTTAAAATAACTATGAAAAGATTGCCTTATTTTTATTTCTTACTTCTAACAATTAAATTAATTTTTAATTATATTTTACCTTTCCATATATTTCATAATATTTAAATTTTAAATTTTACTTATTATTTAACCTTTTTAATATATTTAACATATGTCACACAATAAATAAATTTAAACTAAAAATTTAAAATAGAAAACAGCATGGACCAACTTTTAAACTAATGGTAAACAATGGTCGAGTTCGGTTAATAAAACTCAAAACTAAAACTAATCAACAATATTAATTTTTAGGCTGATTCTGCCTCTTAAATAACTTTAGTTTCGATTTAATTACTTTTATATATATATATATATATATATATATATATATATATATATATATATATATATGATTGGGTGGGTTGATAACTACTCAGCAAATATATCAAATCGTTTAAATAATAACTACGGTAAGTGAGTATCCTCTCACGAGGATTAACTTGTCAAACAATACTTTATTAATTAAATTTGTATTTAGATAATATCAATTATTTGAATAGAAAAAAAAGTCTTAACTTACGATTAGAACAAAGTAAAGATTGAAAACTTAATAAATTTTAACTTAACAAGTAAAAGTGTAATCTCAAAGTTCAAAACATTTAAAGTTAGAATGGTTTAAAATTTTTCTTAATTTTTGTTGAATTTCTAAAATAATTAAATTAAAAATTTTAGATTAATAAAATAATTTTAAGTGAATTGACTTTAATTCTTTCACTTGTGATAAAATATAACTTCCTTGACTATATCTTAATACAAATATAGATTAAGCATAGCAATCAGTCCATAAATCAAAAAAATCAAGAAATATTTTTAAACCTAAAAATTTATGTAGTTTATCATTTGAATTAATTCATACATGATTTTCCTAACTTAAGTAAGAATCCTAGTTCAATCATGAATAATAATTCATAATTTCTACGTATAAAAACAAAAGATAAACAATTAATTCAAAAAATTTAATATCAAAAAATTATAAAGTCAATCCTAATACTCTCATTTTCAGACTTAATCATTTCTTTTAACTATGTAATTTATTAACTCATTCTATGAAAATACAAAGAAGAAAAAGTACAAAAAAATTCACAAAAAATAAAGAATTAGAAACATGAATCTTCAATCTCTCATATTCCTGTTGTTCCAAAATTGTTCCTCGACCCATAGAGCTTCTTTCCTTCATTTTTTTTTTTCGAGTTCTCCCCCATTAATGCCCTAAACAGAATTTGACGGTATGTTGTGGGTGCCTAAGCGCTGAGTGTTGGATGCCTAGCGCCAAACCACTTGATAGCAAAATGAAATCAGCAAACTTGTAGTGAAAGTTTAACACAAATCCACAAAATGTTTAAAAAAAAAGTGCAATAACATAAATAACTAATAAAAAAACATTAAAAATACTTATCAAAAGTAATTTTAAAAATATTTTAAATGATTTTAGACTCTTAAACTCAACAACTTGACAGAAAATCATAGGTTTAAGAAGTTTTGTCTCAAATTTGCAAATATTTTTTTGTCTCCTTATGCTTGCCTTTCTACAGACTCTATTCGGCCAACCTTCTTTAGAAGATTAGGAAAAGACATATGGTAGTAGTTTACTAACGAAAATATTAGCTAAAAAAGTATAAACAATTGAGCACACATGCTAAGAATAACTTTGAATACAAATTTCTTTGTCAAAAAATACGTTAAAAAACAGAAGATAAAGAGAAAAAAAAAAGGAGAAGAAGAATAAAAACACAGATAAAATCATAAAATATATGAAAGTTGTTTAATAAGGAGCGTTTGTATGGTATCTATAATAACAAGGGTCGTGAACTCTTGGCCCAACAACAAAAGAAGACCATGGCAATGACTTGACAATAAAAAGTTACTGCTACATGAAAATAATGGTTTTGCTTTGAAGTCAACTTAAAATAGTCGTAGATATGTTTAGTATTTGATGTTGAAAAAGTTAATAAACATTAAATATTGCATCAACTTTACCATCATTTATTTAACGTGGAAGCTACACGTGCCCTATATATGCATTTATTCCTCTGTGCACCCTATCCCTCCACCACTATCCAAAATATCATAATTATTACCTTCTTTTTTTCACGGAAAATTAGAAATGCAGACAATTAAATTAAAGCCTACAACACTACCATGACCTGCACTTGCATTTTCATCGTTACTTGTGCATGCAGCAAGCAAGCAAATGAGCAATGACTGCAATGTGCCTTCAATTAGTTAAGAAAATGAGAACTCATATTCAACTGAACCAACCTTTTAAATCTGAATATCAGACCCAAATTTATCTGCACTCGATCCGTTTTTGCCCACCTCAACTTTAAAATTGAGATGATCTTATCTGATATTGGGGCTACTATTCAAAACCTGAAAATGTCTTACCACTGCCTACGTCTAAGAATCAAGATTTGATGTAAAATATAATAATAATTTTAGTTTATCTTATAACGTATAGGATTGTGCAGCTGCAATGCCTGTTATAATTTTGGCTAAACATATTAGGCGTAATTATAAATTTGATTCCAATATTTAATACATTTTTAAAAGTTTATATAAAGAGTTATGAATTTTTTTTAAAGAAAAATTATTTATAGTTCGATTTATGTAGTTTATCAAAATTAGAATAATATTCAACTTAGTCATAATACACAATATTATTTTCAATTTTAATTCTTGCACTTAATTTTTGGTTCTTTAGGTCCCTATATTAAAAGATTAAAATTACAATTTAATCATTATGTTACTCTCAGTATGAAATTTTTTTTTACCCAGATTTATATTTAATTATAAAGAAAAATGCTATCTGTACAATAAAGTTTAACAACAATTTATACGCACAAGAGGGAGCGAAGAGAAGAAAAAATAAGAATACAAAAATCTATAATAAAAAATTATTATAAGAATAACATGATAAAATAAAAAGAATTGCTAAACATCCAGGAGGAGAAATACAATAAACTCATTATTATGTCATGACAAACAACTTCTACATACATATATAGCATTGTAGAGCTTTATTATACAAAATCATGAACAACAGAATACTGAATCCGTATAACTTTATTAATTCCATCCCATAAAAATGGAATATTTTTGTTATTTAGTAGCAGAAAAAAGTGAAAATCTTGAAAATTCCAAATGAATTAATCTTTTTTCTGGAAGATTACTGGGAGCTGAGACCCATCCAAGGCCAAAATAATCCTTCCATTCTCACGCAAAATCCCAGCAGTTCCACAAATAAATCTACAAGTGGGGCAAACTTCTGTGGGACACCAACGAATATTATAGATACCAGAGGTTTGTGTTTGCACAATTCTAAAATAGTTACCGTATGATCCTCTTCCATCGTCTTGGCCAGTGATAATTAGCCTTCTTCCACTTCGTGTGTCATTCTCACCCAATCTCCATTCAGTGGATTGCACGCATGTTGAGGAAGCATCAAATGCCACTCTAAAGTCCCTATTCACCCTCACATCATCTTCATCTTCATCTTCGTTTTTGCTAAATGGGGTGAACTTCACTGGCAAGCCTTGTGGCAAATCGGTGTTTTCAAGACCAACGTACAAAGGGCATGACCCGTTTCTATTGATCAAGGTGAAACGCCCTCCATTGTCTGTTATGGCTGGCCTTATGTAATATTCTTCATCACTTTCTATGGGTTCACCGTTTGTGTCAAGAACATAGGGATTGGATTGGGCTAGTGATGTTGTCACCATGACAAGAATTAACAACACACCAGAATTCAGGGATCCAAGCATTCTCATTGACATGGTTCAAGTCAGGGATTTATGGGTTTTACAGTAAACAAACAATGTGCAGGTGTGTGTTTTTGTTGTTGCTCCGGCAAGGTATTTATAGGATATGGTATGGGCATGCCCTACATTGTGACTTGAAAAGTGGTAGGTTGATGAATGAAAGTCAAACATGACTTCTCCGTTTAACCCATTGCTTGTACCTTAAGGTTGTACCACTGATCTATGATAAGATAAACAATTCTTATATTTTTATATTTATTTTCATCTTTGCACGGTATCGGTAAATTTTAGAAAGTATTTTATATTTTTTAAATAAAATATTATTTCTTATTATCTATTATTTACAAGGTATTATAGAAATTTTTTTTTCTAACACATTATTTATTATATTTCATATTTTTTTTCTCTGTCATCATCCTCTGCCTATTTTAATACCTTAAACTTGGGTTTCAAACTATAGATCTTCCTAAGACAAATCTTGCCACCGGGATGGGTTTCCTGTCAAAGCTGTGTTTTGAATTTATTGTTACACCTGGAGAATGAAAACACCCCATATGGTTTAAAAATTGAAACTTTTGCGAGTAAAAAAAATATTCATTTTAGCTTTTAATATTTTAAGTTCCCTTTACTAATTTTAAATTTTATAAAATAATATTCATTTTAATTTCTTTAGTGTAAACGATAAAAAAAATATATTGATTACAAATATATGCTTTTATAACCATAATATGTGCTTTACTGCTTAAATAATAATAGATTAACTGTAAATAAAATAATAAGATAAAAGATACAACTGATTTACATAAATAACAATAAAAGATTGTTATTATTTTTATTTTTTACAGTATATATATGTTATTATTATTGTTGTTGTTATATAACAGTATAATAATATAAATTTAGTTAAAAATATTAACTGGGTAAATTTTTACAGTATTATTTAATAATGAATGATAAAATCTATAATATTCTTTGTAATTGTGAAAGTTTGATATTTTTTTATATGTAAAATAATTCTAACCGTTAATTTTATATAAATAAATAATAAATTAATAATGTAATTAAAAGATATTAATATCTTTTCTTTTTTTAACATTAGAAAAATTATAATTATTAATTTAAAAAGAATATAAAATATCTTCTCAAAACTACATATCCTACAACAAGTACCTGAATGAATTAATATTTTTCTAATAATTAATATAAAAACTATATTTACCTTATTATAAACTAATTGATTAAAAGTGTAACAACCGTTATATAACTGTACCAAAATTATATTAAAATGTATAAATAATCAATGTGATGTATCTCATTACATAACTATTGATATTATTACTGTATATTATAAAAATGATGAAATAGATTGTGTGAGAAAAATAAGTGTTATTTCCTATGGTGACTAGAGTAACCTACTAGAAGAACATTAATAGAATCTGATTATAATTTCTAATGATACTTTTCTGCGGTAGGAATAGGTAACGTTTGAAAGTTAGAAAGTAACAATCACATATAAATCAATGTAGAAATTGAAGGAAAGGCCGTGCCGGTCCGTCACGTGCTTTAACAAAGACCGATAACGGCAGAGACAAGGTCAAGTTTGAATTTTGCGCCATTGTTAAACAAACGTGTGCGCTTGAAACAACAGGTTTGTGATTTAGCCTGTTCAGTTTTGGGTGTAGTTTAAATGAATTTAAGAATAATATCACAATCAAATTAAATTCATCAAATTTTTTAGTCTTTGTTCTTATCTTTTTTCTTTTTTTTAAGAACATATCTTCAATTTTTATATTCAAAAATTAAAAAAATATATTAACTAGAGCATTAATAGATTTTGAAATTAGAATATTAATTTTTTAATAGCTAACTTTTTATTTAAAAGACAACAGTTAGTAAATGGAAAAGTTAAAATATAATACATATAAAAAATTGTGAAAAGTATTGAACTTCGTCATAAATTAGAATTTAGTTTAAATAATAAATTATAAATCAAAATAACCATTTTTAATAAAAACTACAAATACATTAAGTAAAAAATATTTTAAATTGAGGATATAATAAAAATATAAAACTAATATATTTATGTTTTAACCTAATATAAAAATTAAGAAAAAATAGTATTTTTATTTTTAAACTTTAAGGTAAGTTTTGATTTTGTCCTCTAATTTTTTTTTTCTATTTTAGTACATTAACTTATAAAAATATTTTAAATATGTCATTTTTTGTTAAAATTTTTTATTATTTTCTATCACATATATATCATTGTCTTTTTTATATATCTGATTGCATCTCTTTTAACTCTTTATTTTTCTTCTCCTTTTTAGTTTCATGTTTTTATCTATTTTTTTCTTTTCCTTTTTCATTTCTTCTTTATCTTTATAATATAACCCTTTTTAATTCAACATCACTTTTTTTCCTTCAAATAATTATTTTCATCCAGCATCTCACCTAAGTCAACCAAATTTATGATTGTCTAACAAATTTAAGAGACATGCATAAATCTTCAACAAAATGAAGGAAAACAAAAAGGCTGAAAATATCTAGGAAATCAATGTCTAAAACTCCCAACTTTAGGATAAAAATGAAAAGTTGAATAGTGAAATTTTAGCAACAATAAAGAAAAACAAACGGTTGAAAAAAAAAGTAATTAAGGACCTAAAATTATCAACTTTAAGATGAAAAATGAAGACCTAAATAATCAAATATTTATTAAAACATGTAAAATGAAAGGGGCCGGAAGAAGATGTAAAAATAGTGTCTTAAAAATTCAATATTTCAAACCCAAATACATTGAGATGCAGTAAAGAAAAAAAGAGAGGAGGAGGAATAAAAAAGGAAAAAAGAAAAAGAAAGATAAAAAAATGATAAAAAGAAAGAAAAGAAAAAGGTGAAAGAGACATATATAAAGATTTAAGGAAGACGATGAATAATATCCATATAATATATATAATAAAAATGACAAATTTTTTTAAAAAAATTAGTATTTTAATAAAAAAATCTATTTAAAATATTTTTACAAGTTAAAAGATTAAAATAAATAAAAAATTTAAAAATAAAATTAAAATTTACTATAAAATTACAATAAAGGTGAACAACAAAAACACTAACCTTATCTAATTTTAAACATAAAAGGTAAAAATTAAACTAAACTAAGAAAAGGTTATTTAGTTTATAAACATTTTGATTTAACTATTTATACAATTTTTATTTTTTTAATTGATTTAGAATTTTAAACAATTTAAATTATTTTTGTACACCTTTATGTTGATCTACGAAGGTTTATGATGTTATAAATCTAAAAAAAGTAAGAGTCAGATGTGATTTAAGTTTGTCAAAAATAGCTTTAAATTAATTATCCTTTTGATCTGGATTTGTATCATGAAACCCAAGACTAATTCTAAAAATTGAAAAGTAAAAGTATCAAAAGATTTTAAGAAAATAACTCTTATATAATTAGTTAATTAGTCACTATTTTTAAATAAAAAGATTTTTTTTATTATGTCACACTACTTCTTTTGACTATTTAATTTTATAATTTGTATAATTTTTATTTATTTTAAATATTTATTTTATTTATTTTTATTTTATATTTATATATTTATTTTAAAAATTAGTATCAAATATATTTCTAAAAATTTTATTTTAATTTAATGATTTTAAGTGGTACTTTGTTAATGGAAAGTATTAAATAACCAATATTTTTTTTTTTTTGTCTTCAATGAGTTTGATTTATATTTTATAGATATTTTTAGATTGAAATAAATTTTTAATAGAAAATAGTTATATTATACAATTTTCTATAATTACTAGAAAATAAATATTTTAAATATTATTGATAAATATTTTATTCTATTAAATAAGACTAAATTAAATTAAAATAATTTTTAAATTATAAAAAACTAACTTAAAAATTTAAATTAAATTAAATTAAATTAATAAATGTTCATTGTTTAATAAATAAATGAAAAGTCATTTGACACAACATGGAAATGGACAAAACTCTTCAAATTTTTCTCAATTAAAATAACTCATAAAAATATCTTATTAAATTTCTTAATAATACCTTTTGATTAGATTCTAATACAAGTATTCATATGTCACATGTTATAGAATAATTTTTTTCTTTGACTCAAAAAGAATTGAGAAGTTTTTAAGTATGGATAACACAATAAAAGTACAAACAGAAAGAATTAAGACATATAAATTAATTTTGAACAATGACTATTATTTAGATCTAGAAAAATGTCTTTGTATTCTTATATATGCTAGGAATTTAGTTTCTATTTTTTTTAACTTCAAGATTTACATGATGATTTTCTCTTTTATAAAAAATATGAACTAGCATAATTTTGGTGTTTTAATTTATACTTTATATCATTTCAATTTTAATATTAATTTTGTTAAATTTATGTTTTATATTGAACATAATATTAGTAGTAAATATAATGTGCACAATAAAAATTTTGTTATCTTCTAACAAGAAAAATTAGGTTATATATATATATATATATATATATATATATAATATGTTGAGTTTAGTTAAAAAAACAAATGAAATCTTATTTATTTCAATTGAATTTTTTTTTAATGAGATATGTTATGAATTATTTTAATCAAGTTACAGTCAATTTATAGACTTAAACAAGTTTATTAACAATGCTATCTTAAGTTTAACAATATTATTACATCGTGTAGTTTTATAAAAAAAAAAAGCTATTGTTGATCAGTATATCTACATAAAAGTGAATAGAAGTAAATTTATTATTTTGGTCTTATATTTTGAAGACATTATTCTTATTTCTATTGATGTTGGCTTATTATATAATATAAAAAAGTTTCTCTCTAAAAATTTTAAAATAAAAGATATGAAAAAAAATTTTATCTGATAAGAATAAATATTTGGTGATACATCATAAAGAGTTTTAGAATTTTATCCAAAATGTTATAGTAACAAAGTATTGAAAAGATTTAGAATAAAAAAGTGCTTATTAAAAATAGTTTTAATTCAAAAGAGAAATAAATTTAATAAAATATATTGCCCTAAAAATAATTTAAACGAATATAAAGGAGATTATTTTTTATGTATTAATAACTAAGAGTTTAATAGATAGTTGAATATCAACTATCACTAAAAAGTTGTAAAAATATTTATTAGGTGTTTATAATACATCAAAAATTACATACAAGATTATATTGTCTTGAAATGATTAGCTACATAAATTTAGACTATATTGAATGTTTCATTCTCATTGGATGGAGCTGTAATTTTTATGAAAGAATAAAAAATAGCTTATAATTACTATTTTTACTGTGGAGGTTAAATCTATGGTATTTTATCTTAGTGCAGGTATTGTTTGTAGTATAGTTATGCCATCAAGAATTTATTGAGACAAATTTGCATTCTTCTCCAAAACGAAAAGTACTTAACGAGGGCAAACACATCTTGAATTTCCGTGTTATGAGAAATCAATACAGTATTGCCCAAAAACAAAAGATTATTAATTTATTATTATACCTGAAGCTGAAACGATTGAAAAAGGAGCAAATTTAGAATTATACCGTGCAGAAAGGCGAACACAACAAAAAAATGAACTTCATATCAGTAATTTACTGCAACAGCATTACCAATGCTGCTAATGTTTGAGCACTTTGTAATGTAATTCCAACAGGAACAGTAGTTCCCCTGGTTTGGGCGGAATAAATTCAAACATATATGTGTTATTAATTCAACGATTTTTAAACTTAATTCAAGAAACAATAATGTAACAATTAAGCATTGACAATTTGTATAGACAAAAACTAACAGCTCAAGAAAATAAACAAACTTCAGAAAGAGACACATATAATGTTACCCTTGTCAATTTGAAAACTATCGTCTACACCCTTTTTTTTTCTTTTCTTTTTTTCCTGCTAACTCAATTTGGTCACAATAATGAACAATTATCACATACTGTCAAGAGTCTTCGTCCGAAGATTTAGAACACTAACGCAATGCATAAAAAGCTATGAAGAGTAAAAATACAACAAACCCAAATGATCTTCAAAAGTAGCTAACTCTGCAATTCCCTGATATGATTAATAAACGATCAGAGTTAAAAAAGAAATAGAAAAAAAGCACTAACTACCACTTCTACACTTTTTATCTTCAGAGGCAACAATTTTGTACTTCCCAGATTGCTGTTGCTGCACCCATAAAAAAGGGACAAATTTGGTTAAACACAGAATCTAATCCACCTGTAAACTTGTTTCACAAAATACCAATCTATCAAACAGAAAAAAAAATGTTTTGGATTGATTGAATTGACAAAAAAATTCTCATTTTCAAAAGTATAATGAAAAAGGGAAAGACTTGAATTGATTCATAAACTAATTTCCCGACTTAGCAATTTTATTTTCTCACCCTTAACTAATATAGGTAAAACAGGAAAATAAAATAGATGAAACTATGATTTAATTACAATTTTAGTTCCTATATTGTGCAATTTTAGTTTTCAAATCATTTATGTTGAGTCCATTTATTTTTTCAAATGCTCAAATTAAATCTTCTATTCCAAAATTAATATTTTTATTAATTTTTTTATATTTTTACTTAAATATTTTACACATGTATTTATTTATTTATATAAATTAATAAAATATCATGCTTGTAATACATACATGTAAAAGCGTCTAATTAAGAAACACTTAGAAGTAATATTAAATCAGCCTAAAACCACTTCAAAACCAAATTAATTAGGAAAATTTGCACTTCCAAGCATAAATGTTTAATCTAACAAGATGAACCTTTCAAGGAAAAAATACAAACACCAACGCATAATTCACTCACAATTTATAATACGAACACGAGTATTTCTCAAGTTAATACAGAACTTACGAACACAATCAAATAAAGGTTCAATAAACACTAAAATGGTAATAAAATTCTTAATTAAGATTTTTTAAAATTAACGTGATACTTTTTACTAATCATGTATGCTACTCTTAGAAATGCACTAGACTCAGCAGAACTATACCAAACCCAATTTTTAAAAAATAAACAAATAAATTCAAAAAGATGAAAAAAAAAAAGGAAACTGACGTTACCTTTTCCCACAGTTGAGAATGGGTTTTGCAGAAACCGGCAACGATGGTAGCACCATTCTTCCCTACCTTGTACTCAATGCAAAGCTCCTCCTTAAGACCACAAGTAGCATGAAAAGCCAAACCACACTTAGGCTCAGAGCACACCAAAGCACACCCATCACAACACCCACAAACGTAGCACTTCTCCAACCACCTCTTCTTAGGAACCTTAGAGCAATCTATCCTCTCTCTCCCTTCCGGGTCCCAGAAAAACACCTCCGGCACCAACACCGCACATACCACGTGCGCCCAACGCGCGTCCGTCGTGCGCTTCATGGCACCCTCCTTCACCGGACACAGAGCACAACAAACAACGTTGTTATTATTATCATTGCTGTTGGTATTACCCTTACTTTTCTCTCTCTGGATGAAACGACAGCGTTCGCAGAACCAGTCACCCTCGGGGATTCCCTTGGACAAGGGGTTACCGTAGCAGGAAGCGTGTACCATGAGGTCGCACCCGTCGCAGAAGACGATTGGGTCAGAAGGGTCACCGTCGGTGCTTTGGCACACGCAGCATAAGATCCCGTCGTCGTCGGTGTTTTCTTCTTGTTGGGCCGGGGAGTGGGCCTGGGCTTTTTCGTGGGGGGATGGGTTGTATTCGACGTTGAGGTCGAAGGGGGGAACGGCGTCGTTTTGGGGGTGGAGTGCGCATACTCTCTTTTTGGCGGGGAGTGAGTAAATGGTGGGAGAGGGATGAACGGGTGATGGTGGGTTTCGTGATTCTCTGCGTTTTTTGGCTGGTAAGGGAGAAGAAGCACTGTTTTCTTGTTGCTGTTGTTGTTGTTGAATGAGTCTGAGTCTCTTGTGAGGTGGTAGATCGTTGAGGAATGTGGTGGACTCCATTTCAGGGTGTGATTGAGGATTTGGGTTGGGACTGTGACTTATTGATTCAGAAGAAAAGAAAACATTAAAGAGCTGTGAGTGAGGGAAATCAAAATTTGGGGTTTGAATTGAATTTGGAAGCGGGTGAACTGAAAAGGGGAAGGTGGGAAAAAGATGAACGGAAAATTTTCGATACTTGAAAATAAGGCGGGAGATTGAAACGGCGGTCGTTTACTGCTTAATTGATTTCAGAACCCGCGCTTTGTTGAATTATTATTTTGTATAAAAATAATTAAAATAAATATTATTATGTAAAGTCAATTTAAAATATTATTTTTTATTTATTAGTTAATCAAATAAAGTCGCACACGTGTTTTTGGCGGCGTTGTGTCATCAGCATCAAGTGAGAGCTGGCAAAGCAGAAGATGGGAATTAGGATATATGAAAATATAATTAGCCTTGAGCCCGGATTTTGTGGGAACCTAATTTTACATGAACACGAGACTCAATTTATAACTAGTTAATCAATTTTTTTATTCTGTGTACCATTAAATAATTATTTTATTTTTAAGTAGGACAACCTTAACTTAAAATATGAATAATATTTATTAAAAAATTCTATAAATAATAGTAACCAAATATGTATTTAATTCCTATAATGTCTTTATTTAAAGTAAAATATAATTAAGTTAAATTAATGATTAAGAAAATGCTAAAATATTTTTAATATAATATAAAATTAAAATTAAAACTAAGACAAGTATTATGCATAAATATATACATTTTATAAACCTTGAGTTAATTAGTCACAATCTTAATTTATGTTACAAATTTTAAAATCCTTATAAGTTGGTTTGTAAACTTTGCGAAGTGCATTCTAAGAGATATTTTTTTAGTGAAGTTTTAATTTTACCTTTTAATCTTCCTCCTCTTTTGATTTTATTTCTCGACATGATATAATAGTCATTAATTGTGATAATAGCTTTTACTACCTCTCTTTCTTAATTCTTAATTATTTATGACACTGCTACAATGTATATCAACTTTCACATACCTATTTTAAGAATTTTAAGTGGAAGATAATGTATATTTGTGATGGATAGAAACTCTCCTTAGCCTTATCTCTCGTAGTCTTTGTTTTAATATTTGTTGACAAGATAAGACTTTGTATCTTCCTGTCTATGAACATAGGTTAAAAACTTATGTTGATTTGTGTTTTCTTTCTTTAAGAACTTTCTTTCTTTTTAGGGTTAATAGAGAAAAAAGGAATTCTCAAATACATTTAAAGTGTTTATTGATTTGCATTGTCTTTCTTTGAGAGTGCTCAATAGTAAATCTGGATCTTCTACAATTTTAGCAAATTGTAGAACCTACTATGCATTTTCACTTAAACAAATCTACATGCAATTACACATAATGTTTGTGTTGCCTTTGGCATCATCCAATGCCTAAATAAGAGCTTTTGTTATTCTTTTTTCTAATCATGAACGCTCAACCTTATTCTCTGGCATAGGTTGAGCATTCACTTATCATGCCATGCACTTAGTTATATGGCCTCCAATCCACTTTTCTAAATTTTTTATTATTATTTTTTCCAATGCTTGCCTTTTATCATTTTTTCCAACAATACCCCTTTATGCTTGACCATTAGATTTATGCTTAAGTCCACTAATTTCATAACTTCCTCCTAAGATTTTATTTATTTTCTTCCTCCTTTCCATTACCTATCTCTTCAAGCCATTAGGAAAGGTGCACTTTAAATTCATGTCATAATTGCTTCATTTTGAATTCAAATTTCATCTAATGGTTGGCCTCGTGCACTTATTTAAGGCTACAATATTGAGTCTTTCTTTATTTGTCTTATTACTTCTTTTCCTATTATTTGTGCATTTGATTGTACCACCCTTTAATCTTCTCCCTCATAACTCACACTAAACCTACCAAAGTCACTGGTAGTTCTAGGCCTTTAAAATCTCATTGAGATTTTGTAACCAACTCTGCTAGTTCTTCTCACGATCTCCAACCTCGCAATATCTTTTTTAATGTTTAGGACTCTTCCTTCCTTAAAAACTACTAGGAAGCTGCTTAAGGATGTTTATTCCTTTTCTTCTCCTTAACTAAAATATATTTTTGGGGGAAGTTAGAAGCATCCAATGGCCCTAAAGATGAGGTTATTGCTGGAGAAGACCTATCTTTGCCATGCTGCTATCACAAGTTGGCTTCTTTTCTGTTACATTTTTCATTCACATGACAATATTTTCATTGCTCATCTTACTTATTTGTTACCTGTTAGTGTGCCATTAGTGTGTTGGCGTAGTGTCACTTACACCTTTATTGTTACATGGGGGAACTCACATCAACTTAAGATAATGTCATTGTCCTTACTTATATTTTGATTTTTGGAGATGCTAATCTTTCTTGTTTGCATTCCCCCCTCCCTCATGTCATTGACAAAGGGCTTTGAAATGAATGAATTAGAAAACATAACTATGAACACTTTTTATATACAAACATAACTATTAACACATTCTATATATAATAATGAAAAAATGATTTTTTTTTCTTTTTTATTTTTCCAAACTAATCAAAAACTATGAATTGAAAATGTGATGCATCAAAAAAAAAATCTAATCAAAATCTAAGGATGAAAATGGAAAGAAGAGTGGAATTAAAACTTAAATTAAAATAAAAAAGGCAAGACAATAACAAGAAAGAAATAAAAGTTAAAAGAAAAGAAAAATTGAAAGTGAAAAAATGAAGATTAATTCAAATAAATGCGTAAATTCTATTTGATTTGCTTACATATGCACAACACTGATAAGGAAATTAATCCTTTTATTGAGTATAGCTCATATTGATCCTATAAGTGTAACATAGTTGCAATGTCATGATCCTACACATCTACACAATTAAGGCAACATTGGGTACGATATTCCACTTGGCAATGTCACTTTTATTCTCTATTTGAGTTATTTACATTCTAGCTCATGGCAATTTGGACACAAATTAGTTGCATTTTTGTTAACATCATAGCTTGCAACCTGATTTACTTAGTTAATTTTCAACATTTACATAAAAGAGAAAGCAAAATTTTACATATCTTAATTTGTAACAATGAGATAAAAAATATCAATTCAATTCAATCTTCTAGATGCTTGATAAACATTTCAACATCCAATCATAAGTTTCCTATTCAAGGAAACTACTTAAGTTCCATTTACACAACTTAGATTAGTGAACATATTATTTAGCTATGCAAATGAATTTGAGCAACTCTCACTTGTTCATAACAATTATTGCATAACATATTATTATTTACATTCACTATATTGAACAAATTCATCCATATATCAAGAAGATTAAATACTATTCTATACAATCTCCTATCTACACAAATTCGATAAAGCATAATTAATTAAGATAGTGCATACATCTAGTTACATTTATCCCATAATATTTGTAAAACTCATGTGATAGGCAAAGTGAGAATAAATGACTAAAAATTATGCTAACGCATTCATTACAACATCAACACAAAACATTAATTCATAACAATTCCAATGGTGGAATACTACGACAACGAGATGTGGAGTTATTGGTCACCATCTGATGGATCCTTTTCTTCCTTAGAGTTTGAGCAATTCAGTGGTATGAAGGAATTGGTGGAATGATCTGGAGGTTCATACATGCCTCTATTACAATGGTGAAGGTGTCGAGATAGGGTGATTGATAAATCTATGAATATAGTAGATTTATAAGGTTTAATTTGTAAAAAAATTGTATATAATAGAATTGAAAATGTATAAAAATGATGCTTATATATGTAATTTTTTTTAATGATTGAAAAAGAAAATAAATTCACAACTATATTTTCTTGAAAAATTCATGTTTTTTTAGGATTTAGATTTTTACAACAAAATATCAATTGTTTAAGTGAATAAAATAAACTTGGAATGGAGAAAATCAACAAGAAGCTTGAATGTAAATTATGGTATTAGCATTACAATGCTGATTAAAGTGTCTCAATGCTCATGTAAGGAAAAGTAGAGTCGCAACTAAATACTAAGCATTCTAACGCTTGTTGTGGGTATTCCAATACAAAACACCTAATTAATAGAGGAACAAAATGTTGCATGACCTTGGGTGTTCCAAGGCCTAATGCTCGAGCAACAGACTTACATATATGTTGCAACACTTAATCTCAACGTTACAATATTGGCATAAATTTTCAATAATTAACATGTAAGAGTTTTTGTGCGTTTCAACGTATAAGTATGGTAGAGTATGTTTATGCTTTAGGAGTGATGAACTTATGTTATATGGTTACAATGATGCAGATATGACTGGTGATGTGGACTTTAGAAAATCTACTTTTGGCTATATGATGACTTTTGTGGGTGGAGCAGTGTCATGACAGTCAAGGTTATAAAAGTGTGTTGCTTTATTTTCTACAAAGGCAGAGTATATTGTTGTTACAGAGGCTGCAAAGGAACTCTTGTGGATTTAAAAATTCTTACAAGAGCTAAGTCTTTCTTAAGAGAAGTATGTCTTTCACTGTGATAGTCAAAGTGCAATCCATCTTAGCAAGAACTCAACTTTTCATTCAAGATCTAAGCACATTGAGGTTCGTTATCATTGGATAAGGGATGCGTTGGCGATGAAGCAATTATCATTGGAGAAAATCCATATCGATGAGAATGCTTCAGATATGATGACAAAGACTTTGCCTACTGAGAAATTTGCCACTTGTCAGAGGAAAGCGGGTTTGGTTAATCGTTGTCCCACTTGATTGGTGAGGGGAAGATTTGTTAAGTGGGTTACTATCAAGTGGGCCCACATTGATTTTGTAAAAAGAAAAAAAAATGTAGGTGCGCATGGTGAATCCTAGGTGTGCAGTGATGGCTACGAATCCCTAGGGAGGGCTTGGTGACGGTATGAAGACGGATGTCCAAAAACAAAATTATGAGGGCTTAGGCCTAAACTGGACAATATCGTATTAGTATGAAGATGTAGTAAAAAGT